AGGAGTTTGACAATACAATGGTGGAGTTCGCGTGCCAACTATAGTCACTCAAGTTGAACTATAGTTAACCTGAACGCATATTAGTTTGCCGGAAGTGAACCAGTCTAGTCGAAAAACACGAGCTATTCTCCCGCGTACTAGTTGTCTAGTTCAAAGATGGCTGACATTGTCTGAAAGGTAGATGTTGCACAGGAATAAAAATGAATTTTAACGATTATCTCTAGAGATTCATAATAGACTGCACGTGTTTGTTTATAATTATGAAAGCTCAAACTGATTTATAAATTTCTTTGCAGATTATGGCCAGTGTTAGTCAAGTGGTTAATTCAACGTGTAGTGAGGTAGATGTAGATCAGCTTAAAATTGCATTTTGGACGTGCGCTTTATGTCATTACGTTGATGTGAAAAGCGTTCTATCATTAGAAAGACAGAGACAAGCTCGGAAATCAAAAGTAGCTGTAGACGGCGAATTCAGGTACGTAGATCAGAGAAATATGCATGAATGGCCAAATGTGTCTGATATGACACGAGTATAAAAATTTAATCGTCCTAGTCCTGAATGGCCTGATAAATGTATGAGATTAGGAAAAGTTTTCTTTCCTGTGCTATAAAATTGATGAAATATTCGAATATCAAATATTTCTTTTTAATTAAAAGAATTTAATGTTTGAATTTATGTTTATCTACCACTAATTTCACTTATAAAGGTCAATAAGATACGATTTTTGCAAATTCCATTAAAATTACTCATCTGTGATATTTTTAAGAATAATCCTGAGGTGCTATTTTTATCATTTGGTATTCCATGCAAGCTGTGCAGGTTTTGAAGTTGAGTTTCTTCTGACTGGAGACACGGAGGAAGTTTTATGCAACCAGTGTGCAGAAAATGGACAGGTGAATTCAGACTCATTGTTTCTGAACTTTTTCATGTTTCTATTTAGTTAAAAATGAAAAATATCTGAGCATTTAGCACACACAAAAAGTCATTCCATGAAAAAATCAAATTCATTTGAAAGTAGGAAGAGTATAGTAGTACAAAAAAATGTAGTACTAGTAACCTTTTTTTTTTTACAAGTCTGTTTTAGCATACAAAACAAATAAAATCTTATACATAATGTATGCAATAGATTTGAGGGAGTATTTTCAAATTATAAATGTATTTTTATAAGTCAAGTTTGTTGACTCTTTGAAATATATAACTATACATCATAACATTTGAGATGCAAGTGTTCACTTCCGACAGTGCTTTTTTCCAGATACAATAGGTACATGATTTACCACCCAAACCGTATCATTGCAAACCACAGTTGTAATTGTCAACTGAAGTGTCAACTCAACAACTTGTATGGAATCAACCAAACTAAAATATTAAGGCCGGCTTTGAAAGTTCATGAGCTGAATGGTTATTGTTTAATCTTTATCTATCTCTTAATCTGTCCTCCTTCACTTTTATTATATGTATCAAATAAAATTAATTCATATAATAGTCATGTAGGTGCTTTACTCACTAGCAGCATCTAAAAACACTGGAAAACAAAATTTTTGAATCGATGTAGGTCATTACATCCTTTCCTTAGAATGTTTTAGTTACTGTTACAATATGTACATTTATGTGGTACAAATAACCAAATAATTTCTACTACAGAAGTTTTATTTTATTGTTATTGTTAACTAATTTGATAACTCTTTTTCATTTAGATGCAGGATCAAAACAAAGACTTGTTGAGAACATTTTGAGTGAACAGGAAAGATCAGAAAATACGCAGCAAAGAGAATCATTGCCATCATCAGAAAATATACAGCAAAGAGAATCATTGCCATCATCAGAAAACTCTCTGCAAAGCACATCATCTGATTGTCAAGAATTAAGTAGCAGTTTCTCTTCACCGGAACCCGTCTACCAGAGGCCAGAGTGGACAGAATCTCAGGAATCCTTGCTTATTGACCTCAGGCACGAAACAGTCTTCACGAAAACTCACTGGTCCGAAGACCGAGGCCAGTGAATTTTGATGTCGGGTCAGTGAAAATCAATATTCAAGAAGTCCGATGGGCTTGTCGATTTTCAAAGTTATACACAGTCAAAAAATACTTAAAATGTCTTGCTTGTGCAAATTTTATGAATAAAATTAAAAAGAAAACAAACATGTGTTGATGTATCGTATCCAACAACCGGAACTAACTAGTAGTTATTAACTAGTACGTAAAATGCGCGAGTATCCTATGAACAACTTACCGAAACACGACAAACCCAGAAAATGGCGGCGTTTCTGAAGTTGAAATATAGGGCTGATGCAGTTCCCGGAAAAGCACCAAAAAAAACCCCTAAAACCGCGATCGAGGTGAGGGAGGCGAAAAAAATTTACGACAGAGAGAAACGGACAAGAAAATTTCAAATTGAGTGGACTTCCGAGAGGCCATGGTTGACATTCGACGTGAGCGAAAACAAAATGTTCTGTGACTGGTGCAGAAAGCCTAATGATGAGCGTGGGGATAGCAAACTCTCCGACTTAGCATTTGTGAAAGGGACAGACAATTTCAAACTAGATGCAATTCGTCAGCATGAAACAAGTAAGTGGCACACGTACTTCGTTCCAAAAAACTGTGACCAAGAAACACCTGCTGAAAAATGCGTTAAAACGTCGAGGCAATCTGAATACGACAAACTTCAAGTTAAATTTAGAACTGCATATGCAATAGCTAAACATCAGAAAAGTTTTCTAGATTACTCCTTTATATGCGCTTTAGATAAAGCAAAGGGGCTAGAAATAGGTGATACCTACACAAATGACAAAGCTATCAGGGAATTTGTGCGAGTTATAGCAGAAGTGGAGAGACAGAAAGTGAAACAGAAACTTGTAATGTCAGATTTCTTCAGCTTTACTTGTGATGGCTCTACGGATTTTACAGGAGAGGAATTGGACAATTTTTATATTCGTGTTGTGATCGATCTCAAAGTTGAGGATTGCTTTCTGCACATTGGAAGCCCAGAATCTGCTTGTTCTCAAGATATTTTTGATCACTTTTGTATGTTGTTCAGAAATTTAGAATTGCTACCTATTCTTAAAACCAAACTACACATGTAGTCGGATTTTGTGCTGATGGAGCTTCCAACATGCAAGGTAATATAATTGTTATTTTTAATTTATAAATATGGCAATTAATATGACAAATAATATTACAAGAAATAATCTACGATTATGATAAAAGACTTAAAGTACTCCTAAATAAATGTAGTTGGCATGCAAGTATCACTGTATGACATAATGAAATATCCAGATTTTTAAGTGATTATCCCTTTTTTCCAGGCAGAAAAAATGGTTTGGCAGCAAAGTTATTAGAATTGTCACCAGAAATGATAGTTACACACTGTGTTGCTCATCGTTTAGAATTAAGTTTTAAAGATGCCATCAAAGCCTCTTACCAAAAGCTCTATGATAAGGCAATGACTTTGCTACTAGGAATATTTTATTTCTACCGAAAGAGTCCGAAGCAGAAAAAAGCCTTGAAAAGGTCTTTTGAGTCTCTTGGCATGAAACAGGTTTTGCCACTGAGGATAGGAGGTACAAGATGGCTACCTCACATGGAAAGGGCCCTCTACTCCTTTTTTCGCAGCTATCGAGCAATTCGGCTACAACTAGAGAATGCATCTCATGATTGTCCAAAAGCAGAAGGCTTTGCTAAACTGATATGTGATGGAAATCTTCTTACATTCCTTCTTGTCCTTAAGGTAGTCAGTTTTAGTAAATTCACAAATAAAAGCATAATCAACATTTTTAAAAATCAATGATTTGTTTTATTTTTATAAATAAATATAAGTTAAATCATATGTACAGTTACTGTGTGCATTATTGTTAAAATTTAAATAATGTTTTATAATTTAAGGAGATCATATCAGTTCGAATGAAGTTGTCACTGTACCTACAAAAGAGAGAGTTGTCCTTATCAGATGCCTATTTACGGGTTGATGCAACAAAAACATGTTTGCAGACAGCTTCACTGTAAGTACATTTTAGTTACTTTTATTATCTACAAGGTATGTATGTATACTTGTAGATATCATTCTATTAGAAGTAAGTGAATAATAAATGAAAACAGAATTTAAAATGAATCTGTTTCACATAAAGTGTTATCGTTATTGAATATTTGACAGAGATTTACAGTCTGCAGAGGAGGTAGTACAAAATAAAGAGTTTCAGAATCAATCTGTCACTTTTAACGGAATAGTTACTCAACCAAAAGTTGTTGCTGAGAGATTATGTGAAAAATTAGTGAAATCATTTGGTGACAGATTTCCAATAAGCCCCGTTTTGGAAGCCACTTTCATATCTAACTTAAAAAACTGGCCACTCCCTGGTTCTGATGCAATTAAAGGTTTTAATTTAAAAAAAAAGAATTTTATTTTTGTTTCTATTGATGGCTGTTGCTTACATTTACTATGTTCTGGATTATTTAGTGATTTAAAATCTTTTTGTGTATATATGTATATATATATTTATATATACCAATTTATGTTTTCTGTGTTGATTCAGTCTTGAGTTAATCATTAACATTATGTTTTTTTTCTCCTAGAGTTGTTAAATTTAATAAGAGATGTTGGAAATGTATACAGAAAAGCTGTATTGTAATGAAATTTATCAATCATAACAAAACAAAATATTTTTTTTAATTAAAATATGAGTGATTTATCATATGATGTATACATTGTACCCATTAAAGACTTAAGAGTCATCCATTTGACATACTTTAAGGTTATTAACATTTTTCTTGAATTTCAGAGTTTGGACAAAATGAGGTAGCTGTATTGGTGAATCAGTTTAAAGGACTTTTGGTTGAGTCAGGGAGGGATCCAAAAGAGATACCTGCAGAATGGGTCTGCCTGAAAACAACAGTGTACAAGAGGTAATTTACTACAAGTTCATGAAGAAATACTGACTGATGGATAAATAATTTGTGGATTTTATAATAATAATGAAATATTTTTTATTCAAATAGGTTTTCCTCAAGGCTAACAAGCAGAACCTTGAAGTGGGAAGACCTGCATAGTTGTGGGGAGGATCTGCCCAACATCTTTGGTCTGATTTCTTTAGTGAGGGCCCTACCTCCAACGTCAGTTAGGAATGAGGCTACCTTTTCAACCATGAAACTTACCAAAGGGAAGAGGCGAGCACGCCTCAATAACGAAACGCTTGATGATCTACTGATGATCAACCTGGAGTCTTCTTCAGTAGATCAGTATAATCCTCAGGAAGCCATCACTAAATGGATGGTAATTATTATTAATATATTTTAATAGTTTTTCAAAGGTCATCTTTACATAATTTGTACTGTTAATATTCAAGTTCAACTGTATTATTTAATTTTAGAATACCAAAGGCAAAAGGAGACTGCATTACAAGAGGGCACCGATTCAAGTGGGCACTTCCGATACCCAGATGATGGAGACTTCAGATTTCCTCAACAGGGCTCAACCTGACACAGATACCCAGATGGACACCACAGATTCCCTCCAAGAGCCTGATTCTCAAACTTCAGATTTATCTGACTTGGTATCAGAACTTGTGGCAGACCCGGAAGATAATGCAGATGAAGATCTAGATTATGACTCGGACAGTGATGTTGAACAAACAGAAAGAGAAAATGATGTGTTACTGAACATGATCATAGAATATGAATATGAATTAGAATAAAACAGTTTTAATTTTCACTGACCATAAGCATACTGATACAATATTCATTATAACTAAACTGATCACTGATGTATCATTAAATGAGTATTAACTTCAAACATTGTTTCCATTTTCAAAATTGTCATATTCTGTCATTGAAAAGAATTTAAACATATCCAAGCTGAAGCAAGCTTGTAATAGTGTGTTATTAATTTAGAACTATGTTTTCATAAATTTTCCTTAAATTAAGGGGGCCAGTAAATTTTTTGGTGGGCCAGTAAAATTAGAAAGTTCACTGGTCCTACTGGCCAGTAAGTGTGAAAAGTTTTCGTGAAGACTGCGAAATGGACAAGTCATTTACAACAACTAGAAATCATCTTTCCCTCTGGCAGAAAATTTTAAATGTATCAGTTTCCACCACTCAGGCACTGTATAAGTACAATGCATTAAAAAAAAGTGGAAAGAGATCATTGACAGCCCAACTGGTTCTGCTGCAAAACAATTTGTTCACAAAAGAGTGTTTGATGAGCATTATGGTACAAAGTGTCAGTAAACCAGCGTATGTAATAGATACAGATAAAAAAGAAAGTCAAAGCACAGAGTCTGATTCAACAGAAAGTCAAGGCACAGAGTCTGATTCAACAGCAAGAAAAGCAGAAAAAAGTAAACCAAGAAAACGAAGGAGAGATGAAGAGGAATTTGCGAGTTTATTAGAAAAAACTTCATTAAGATTTCACTAAAATGCATACAGAAAAAATGGAAAGATTTGATAAACTTATCAGTTTAATTGAGATGGACATTAAGAGCAAAAAAAAATTGATTATGTGGAACTATGCAAACAGAGCTATTTAATTATGCAAGTTCTGCAACATGTGTGCAAGATTTTTTTTTTATATTAAAGGATTCACTTTCAGAAACTGGAAAGTTTCCCCAGTGATTTTTTAATTTTACATTACATTGTTGAAATTTATTATCAATTTATGAAAAATTGATCTGTTAACATGTATAGCTATATTGCCTTACATGAGCGATGTGTACAATTGTTTTGAGATCAGTGGTTTTAAACATTGGATTAAAACACGAACCAAATACAATCACTGGAAAGTTGTTACATGATACTCAGGTGACCTATAAGGCCCGTGGGCCTCTTGTTAAATGGTGAAATCAGCCAGTTCCTTAGTGGGTACGCATTGTCGGCTAGAAGATGGTGCCCTTGGATAAACAGTTCTCCCGCCTCTGCTTTATGATAAAGATGTGAATTTCTCGAAACCCTAGCGTCGTGGGTACATCCCGGCCATCCACTGTACGCACTAATGATATATAATTCATGGTCAACTGCTGCCTATTAAAAAGAGCGTTTTAAACTTTCAAGTTTAAATAAGTTATAATTTAAAGTGTTAAACATAAATCAAGGTTCTATCAGTTTTTTTCTTGTAATGATAATGTTGAGAGAACATATATAACACTGCGACATTTAAGTCCGGACACGACAAAGTCCGGACTTTTAGGTACCCTTTCGAAAAGACCTACATTAGATTTTTTTCTATATTTTGGTGGGATTTTTTATTCTGACCTCATCATGTCAATCTCAACTTACACATTGTAGTAGTTTTCTCAGAAACCTCAGTCAAAACCTAAAATCCCACGGGAGAATGGCGGGATTTTTCATCCCACCAAAAATCCCACCAAAATCCCATGGGAGAAAAAGTACTGTGGGATAATTTCTCCCACATGGGAAAAAAAATCCCATGATTTTTGATAAAATGGGATTATTTCTCCCACGGGACAAAATATCCCACTAATTGATGTCCATATAGGATTTATCCCATATTTTTGGCATGTGATGGGAGAAATTATCCCACCAGCCTATTAAATATATAACAAATCTGAAATTAACACAATAAGTAACCTTAAGCACTGTTAAGAGTTGTGTTTTATTTCTAGTGCCGAAGAATGTAACATGTAGTATACATGTAGTATTCTCAAAGTATATTTTTTTTTCATTACCATTTTTTGTTTTTTACCCCCCAATAAGGCATATTGTCTTGCTATTGATGATTGTCTGTCCACCATCAGTTGCCATTCATTTTCTTTGCAGTGGTTGTAAACATTGAAATGAAATTTGTTATATCTATCATATGAATATATAGGTCAAGTTTTGTTATGGTAAAAATGGTCGAGACATAATAAACCAAGTTTTGTCCTGTTGATTTATAAATATTCCGAATATTTGGTGGAGCAGGGCGAAACATTTTTTACAAACATTCAGTTCTTCAAAGTGTTCTCTCTTGCTATTTTTCAGAATCATATTAAATACTAAAATGCATTTCACTTCTAGCAAAATGGCAACTGAATAATGTGTTTACCCTGTCCACAGGCACTAAAACTGAATGTAAATATATAGTATGCGCATGTATAAAGTCTTTTTTTTTTTTTTACATAATTGCATACTTTACATTTACTTCCAGTGCCAGTGACCCTTCCTGTCAATTGTTCAAATATTCCATTACAAGTAATGCAGCCAGTACTTTTATACATATTTATAAGTGTATTGAACAAGTTTAAGTCTCTCGTCTAATAACACTGATTTAACCTGAACTAATCCATACTTTTCAAGCTGATTTCTCACTTTGAACCAATGATTTGCTTTTCGTACGTCCATTTTGGTGTTACAATTAGAGGAATTACGATCCCGATCAATATGATCTATGGAGGGCAGTGTCTTGCCAAATGGATATGCCCTTTGTGAATAAGTATGCTTACTCTACTCTGAATTTTCATTAAAACCTAATAAAGTCTGCTGTTATCACCAGCTCAATCACTAAATATACGATATAAGAAGTTTTAAGACCCCTCCCCCCAACTCACACACAGCCTCACAGGCTACGGTGACACTAATGGATAAGGCGTGTACATAAGCTGTATTAATTTTTTTGAATGTCAATAAAATTACGATTGCATACAGAGTACCTCAGTGCTCTTTTCACCAAAGACTAAGCTCTAAAAATGAAAACAACAAAATAAAGAAGCATAAATATTTATTGTACAGTAACAGATATCATTTATATTTACATAACAATATAAAGACAACTTTAAGTATTTCTTGTTATTTTGCTTTAAACATGATGAAATGGCCATGGGATGACTGAGGAAAACAGCGATGATGCTAAAAAAAAAAGAAAAGGAAATTAATGCTGATAGTATGATAATCTTTCAACACCTAAAAAGCTAAGGTTTATAAACCATCAAGTTCACTTCATTGACAATAGCCCAGGGAAAAAAATATAATTATGTACTTTGAATTCAGTTGCAAATGCAAATTTTCTAGCTTAGATAAGATAAATTAAAGAAAAAATACCATTTTCCTAATTCAAATAAGCACAATGAAAATATATATGGAATTTTTTTTCATCTGATGCATGGTTAAAGGGGCTGGTGGTAGCAACCTTTTTTAATACTTTTTTGATCTCCTTTAGAAGAAGACTAGCTTCATATAAAAATTTACAAAAATGTTTAAATTTCAAACCAAAATATAGGAACATTTTGCCAATTGACAGTGCATGTGGTTAATTTTTCAAACCCCAGTCTCCTTTATTTATAAATAATATATAAGAAAAGATCGAAATTTCTTTTAAATAACTTTTCCCTCTACAATTTTTCTTACCTCAGCAGAACTTCAGACATGTTGCTTTCCCCACATCACCATCATCAAACAGCACGGTTACTTCTAAAAACAGATAAATATAATATAATATCTGTATTCATTGTTTTGAACAAAACAAGTTTCAAGAATATATGGTTTACAATCAAAGCCAAATGATGAAGTTTTTGCACTCTGTAAAGCAACTTAAAATCCCAGTATTACTGTGGCATTTATGGATATCAATTCTTTTAACCACTGATTTTATGAATTAAACTTGGAGATACACACAAATACAATATTTTATAATTACACTTTAACAAAAATTACCTCTTCCGTTAACACTCTGGACTTCCCCTTTGTAGAAGAATCCATCCTCCCACCGTGCTTTTAGCTTCTCTCCAACAGCCTGAAAAAAAATTGAACAATAAATATTTCATATTTAATTTAAAGCAATTTATATAACATATTTTACCCCTTACATCTTCTACCTTGATAAGATGAAGAATATAAATTGATCTTGTTCAATTAAACATATTTTAGGAATTTCTTAGAACATAGGTGGAACTGGGAGGGGGAGCACTATTTCATCAGCAAAGATCACATTAATGAAAATTGGGGTTTAACTTCCTTTGTTTCTTTAGCCCCCCCCCCCCAATCAATTTGAATCCGACACTTATGTAGAATGTTATTCATTTATTATACACTCAAAATATACTTACAAAACAGTACAGTTTGACCTCTTCTTTTGAGACCCATTTGTCGAAATGGGCCCCATAACCAAAGTAGTGGACTTTGTACTTCTGTGCCTCACACACGATCACAGTGGCTTTGAACCTATATAAAATATCAAAAATAAAAGATTGGAACATTCATTATTTTATTACCTTTTAAGGTCTACCACCCTTAGAATTTTAAGCATTCAATGTTAAAAATTATTTTCATTTAACATAGTTTAAATTTTCAAATTATTGCAAAAAATGAATATTTAAGATGGTAGATATAAATTAACAGAAGAATGTCAACATAAAAAAATGCACATTTTTTGTTAACAGTATTATGAAAATTAGGCATAAAGTGGTTCTTATGCATAATTCTGGTGCTGATAGCTTCTTAATACTCGCTATTTTTGGGTACTTTTTTGGTATTTTGAATATCAGGGATACTATTAAAAACTAGTAGAAAATATTCAATGATAACAGAGGAGTTATTGCCCTTGTTTACATTTTTTAAAGACTGAATAATTGCTTAAATAAATAAAAATGCTTTTTCAAAATCCTTTAATCATGATATAACAATATTTATCAGTACACCTATTAAAAAAGCATTCATCCAAAAGATATTTGATCTGAATTGTTTACGTACCATTCATCTTCATCTTTTGCAAGGACAAGGTCCCCAGCTTTAAGCTCTGAAAACTGAAAAGAAAGGTATTTGATTAGACGTTATTTAATAAACATATGTTAATTGACGATTTAATGGAAACACTATAAAAAATTTCTGTTTAAAGGAACAAAGGAAAATTTCTGTTTTAAGGCCAAGTTGAAAATAAAAAAAAAATAAATTGAAAGACATGTTCATCGGCATGTAAACCAAAAAACCAAATGTTTTTTATTTCATACACAGTAGATCGAATTTTCAAGGTACATTGAACTTTTCATTTTAGTTGAATTTGATCACTTTTGACATTTAACAAGTCCTGTTTAATGTATAATCTCGTCATGAAGCAAGAGCATTTGTTTCTTTAAATTCATAAAAAATATACCTCTGTTGTGGTGTCTTCTTCTAAGTCTACGAATGTCTGTAGAAGAGCTTCCTGATAAGAAAAGTTAGATACATGTATAACCATGCCATATTCTAAGTATAATCATGCAGTACAAATCATTTTCTAAGGAATTTACTGCTTATTTCTCTAATATCAAATAAGGTATATATTAACCTCATTAGACTCTGCGCCTTCATCATCATCATCATCATCATCATCATCATCATCACCTATCACAGTGTGGTCATCCTTCTGTAAATAAAAAGAATACTTTGTCAATATGAAAACATGATTAAGAAAGTTAAGTCCCCCTTAACATAAAAGACGATTAGGATTTTAGACATATTCTATACCTTCATAAAAAAAATTGTGAATTAAACCTACATTATTAGTTGAATCTCTTTTATATTAGGCATATCATTATAATTCTTTCAATCATAGCAGGAGTGTTTAAATCTGGAACAAAATGCGTCAAAAAGAAAGGATAACTTACAGCATTACTGGTCACTAGAGCAGGCGTCCTAAGATAAAACAAAAAAGTTCAATTAATATTGATTGTCAATATATTCTGTATAAAAAAAGAGACTCATTATAATTAAAAGATGTGTAGCAAAAAAGACTACTTTTAGCATTTAGTAACAGTCACTTGAATGGGTAAAATAGGAGTTCAAAAGTTATGGCATATTTAGTTTGAAAAAGCTATTTTTAACATGTAGGTCAGTCAATATCGCAAGGTCATTGCCCTTGGTGTTATTTTAAAGAACCTAATTAGTGGAGTATGCATACCAAATAGGAAATCTCTTATCTCTCATGGTTCAAAAGTTAAGGTGGAGGTTATAAGTTGAAAACAGACAGAAAAATAGACAGGACAAAATATACGCCCCGGATCTATCGATCCAGGCCTAATAAAGTTAATATAACTTATGCATACCTCATGTAGTTGATAGTTGGTATCAACACGGAGAGGCTGTCATCTGAATCTCCTTCAGAGCTGGATTCCTCCTAAAATAAAAAAGTAAATTGTATTTCAATTGCCAAAGAATAAATTCCTACAAGGAGCTGTATAAATAATAATGCTGCAATTCTTGATAAGTGTATAACTTTAATCTCTATTGTGTTCCTACCACAAAGGGGTACACACTTGAATCTACATTAGTCTATTTTAAATGTGGGAAATGCTGGTTTCCACTGTAAATTCAATTCAATGGGCAGACTTTTACAGGTAAAGTCTTAACTATCTTTGGCCATATTTAAAATTTAAGGTATAAATCTCATTAAACTTACTCTGTTTTCTTGCAAAGGAGGCAGTACAGCAGCAACCTCTATGTCATCACTTGCATCATCACTTTCAAAGGCCTATAGAAATTAAATGTAAAAATGATTGAATACAATGAGCAAAAAAGATGTTTTTCAGTACACAATAATTAATATCATATTCATAACATTTCTTTAATCCAGAATGCAATAGTTCAGTAGAACACAAAATATGAAAACAAGAATCTTTCATTTAGATATTCATTTCTTTAAATGACAATTATCAAAATTAAATGTTATGGTTTCAGTTAACAAAAAAAAGTAACAATAAGCATGATTTTAAGAGGGAATGAAGGAACTTACATAAACATCAACAGCATCTGTCTTTGTTGTTTCCTGGAATAAATCAAGCATGTTAATATTTTTCTAATAAGTTGACATTCATTAATGATACAATAAAAAATATTCTATTACTGTGTTTGAATTACAGAGTATATAAAACACTTTATTCAGTTGATAAATATGGAATGTTTTGTTTACCATCAGTTAGTCCTCAGTATTTATAGTTAAAAAATCCTACAGTAAACCTATTTAAACTGTCTTGCTTAGTTTTTTAAAATCTTACCATGAGTTTCTTCTTTAAGTCGATGACTTGTTTCTGCAGCATGGAATTCCTGCTCTCAAGGTCTGCTATTTTCTTTTTAAGAGGCCCAGGATCGCCCTAAAATGTTCAATTAAAATCTGAAAAAACTGACCTAGGCTAAAACAAAATGTATTTTATATGCAAAGTGTATTAATATTATATTTATATCTTTCTATACATAGAGATCGATGCCAATGACCCAACATAATTCCCACTTTTCCCATTTTAGAATCTTCAAAACTATCTGAAAGCTAAACTATCTGTAAGTTAAATCTCTTCTGTCTTATGGTTATACAAGTGAGGAGATGATTTAAGATTTTCTTGTGTAAAACTTCGAAACTCTTTTGTTTCATATCCTACTATAAAATAAATTTCAATTTCATCAGTAATGTTCTTAAACCTATCTCAGGTGAGGTAAAAACATAATTTTGTGTTCTGTCTTGCAAAAATCAAAGATGTGTTGAAAGTTCTCAATTTTAAAACATGAAGATATGAATGATTAATGTGGAAAGGATTTCACTCATGAAACATTTTCTCTTACCTTGGTTGGTCGCCTTTTGTTGCTTGGAACAGCCAAAGACTGTAAATGAAATAACAAATCATTAAATGAAATATAATTTTATTTTATTATTGACAATTTTTTTTTTTCAAAGTACCTTATTACTCATGCCCCAATCACAGTATATTATTTGTGCATGTAATAATATTTAAATTTGTATATAGTTTTGCAATGTTTCAATAAATAATTTTATAATAAGAAATAAAGTATTTCATTGTTTTAGAATAAGCAAATCATAAAATACCTTTTGCTCTTTCATCTTCTCATTGAATTCGTTCTTGGTGAGTTCCCCGCCCCTGAATTGACGAAGTAGATTGAAGAGGACCTCTTCATTCTTCATCCCAGGAAGCTGAACAAACAGCATCCTGTTCACCTTGTTGTTGGTCTGTCGTTTAAGCTTCCACTCCTTATACGCCTCCATAATGGACATGGCCCACAGGAAACACCTCTTGCTGAGGCAAGCAACACTCAATGCCTCCTTCATTAGACCACCCAGATGACCCTGTAAATGAAGAGAGACCTATGGGTCATATTGCTCAGTGTTAACCAAAGCCAAGTAGCTATGATTGAAAAATTAACCCCTGTCAAGTCATCATTTAACCAAATGTAAATCTTTTTTTTTTTTAGAGATGATAATTGAATGCAGAATTGCTAATCTGTTAACCACAAAAAGTTTAATTGGTTAAACTGTTAATCATATCAAAGTTTAGATTTTGTAATTTTACTGATAATCTTTTTATGTAAATATATCTGTGAACAAAAAAAAAAAAACATTTGTGACAAATTTGTTAGACAATGGCCTAGTAGTTTTGAAGTTAAAAGAATGCTTACAGACAGACAGATTTAGGCAGACATACAGACAGACTACAGCCAAACTTTGATAAGAAAATGTAGCAAAGATACCGTTCATATAAATTTTATTCTTAAAAATTGACAAATACAGTCCAATCATTATAGTTTTAAAACGATCTTATCCCTGTTTACAAACACATTAGAGAGGTTGAGATAGAAATCTATATATAGATGTCAAGTACATTTCATTACTTCATTGATGTTTAGTGCCAATTCAGCTTCCCGTCTCCATTCTCTAAGACCAGAATTCAGCATCTCATCATCCTTAATGAGATCCGCCTCAGGATGAAGGTTCCTCAAAACCTAAAATCAAAGACCAAATTTAATTAAATTACATTGATAAGAAAAACCTCCTAACATGATACACATATGGAAAAGAATTAAATCTAATTATCAAAACCACTTTTATTTATAACATTTTTAAAACATTTGAAATGAAACAGCTTTGCAGCTATATCCAAATTTAAATAACATTGATTGCATTCCTCTCCTGATCTTTTTTTTATCAGATTTAAATATTATACAATTATTGCTGTTTTTTTAGGTCAATACAGTGATTTAGCCATCTGAGGAGTACAATATTCACCGAGCCCGAAGGGCGAGGTGAATATTGTACTTCGAAGATGGCTAAATCATTGTATTGACCGAAAAAACAGCAATAATTGTTTTATTATATGATTCAGTGATAAAATGATAAAGCTCATTACTTGTCTGCATTTTATTAAGTCCTAGCCAAATACAAAAGAGAAGCAGAATTAAAATGTGAATAAACCTTACCAGTCGGCAGTCGTATCAATTTGAAATGTTTTTTCTTTTTTAAATCAAGTTTAGTTGCCATGAAAAAAAATATATAATGTCAGTCTTTTTTATAGGATAAATTTTGAAAGGAATGAGCATTATCAGGGAAAACTGACTGCCAAAAAGTAAAAAAAGAATTGTTGTTCAGTAAAAGTATTGGAGGGGGTCCCGGCATCCCCTCTTACCACCCACACCCTAAAATACTTTATGTTTTGTTCACATGAAAAAAAATAATAGTCATTTAAATAGCTTTCCAAAACAATTTATATCAATTTGGAATTTCCCAATCTATTTCTGGATCAATGTAGATGAAATAAATCCTTGTATTGACCTGGAGCGTCACGTGCAGGTCAATACAACGTAGTATTTTTCTAACATAGTTGGATCTCAGCCAATCATAGAGATGGAAATTATTCAGTCATATAATAAAATTGTTTATTCAATGTCCTTATGAATAATATAGCGTTTTGTTCCACTTAAGAAACACTGGGTTTTAACCCGTACTTAACCTGTTGAGTTATTCAAGAAAAAAAATATCCATCCAATCCAAGTTTGCTAAAAGCTAAAGCTAAAAATGTGACCAAAGACAAGCATGGACAATACTGTCAAGCATGGACATTACTGTCTCACGCATTTATGTACAATTAAAAGAAAATAGATATTACCTCAACTTCTTCTTTGAAGGAACGAAGGTGTTGATAATCACTCTTCTTCCTCATCTTTCGGGCTGTCATTTCACCTAGTAATTAGAAACAACATTCAGATTAAAAATCCTGTATATACAATTCATGATATTTTGATTCTGAAAGCAAGTGTTTCCTCCACCAAGTACATACAGTAAATCTTGTCACACTGAACACACTGAAGCTCTGAGAACTTTTCTTATATGTTATATACAATTAAATTATTAAAAAGTGATATTTTGTCTATGAACATCTGATGGCACTATAATCTTAAATTACACTGCATTTTATTTTCGGAAATATACATAGCATATCCGACATTTTTTTATTTTATTTCCAATTTTTTTTGTTATTATTTCCGGCACAATTTTGTTTTCATTCCCCGCATTTGTCTACACAGCAATTCAATGTTTCCTAAGTAAGTGAAAATGGAATTTTAAAAGGATTTATTACAAACAAATATACACATATATGCATACATCTAGCAAGTATAGATAAAAGAATTCAATGACCACAAAGTCCACTAAATTAAATGTTAGTGACAACACCACACTTATGTCCAAGTCATTGATAGATTAATTAAGTCAGATTATTGATTTCAAAAATTTATTTATTTTTTCTTTAAAATTTTCAAAAGTAAAGTATTCAGATCTTTCAATAAAAGTTCTATGTGTATGCATTTGAAAATGTTTGAAATGAAAACAAAACAATGTTGGAAATGAAAATTAAAAAATGTCGAAAATGAAAATTCCGGAAATGAAATGCAGCCCTTAAATTAAGAATATTTTGAAAAATTATTAGCAAGTCCTCATTACCTGCTGTCCTGAGGGAAATCGTCTAGGAACTCCTTCACTTGCAGCCCATGCAAAGACTTGAAAGTCACATCAGTCACATAAAATGCTGTTGTTGAAGCTTTCACGGTAACTTCCTCATTTTCATCGACATTACGCTACAATAGAAGTCCATGTAAATTATTGTTATAATAAAATCTTTTTAAATACAGGTACTAATTTGTACTCTGTGAACAATCATATTACTTAGGGGCGACATGCCTTATATGTCATCTTCATGAGTATCATATGCAACAATTTTCAAACAAAATTGAATGTTTATCATGTTAATGTTTTAAACTGGATGCCATGAAATCCACATGGGCTCTACAGACTGACTTAAAGTGCCATGAATGGCTTTAAGGTGCCATTGCTCATCTTAATGTCCGCATTCCTACTTTAATTACTTAATACCCAAATTGAAATGTGGAGCAGGAAAAAAAATCATTTGCAATTTATAATCAATCAATAAGTCCCCATCCCACAGAAACCCCTGACTTGGGGACACATTTAACAATTTTGGAAAAGATACCCTTGATCACCATAAGTCTTTGATTAATACCAAAGAGCAGATTTCAAAGCATTTACTCAATTTCAGTATAATCCTAAAACCCATCCACATTAATGTAACTCTGATGCAGGGGCCATGAAAATCATTTTGGAAGGTCATCTGGCCTGCCTTCTGTACCGTATATCTATATACCTATACTTAGATCATCAGTATGTTAGACCAAGGAGCAGAGGAGAAGATTTTCAAAAAATACATGCCCTTTATATTAAACATCATAAAATAGCTTGCTGTTTTTGTAGACATTAACAGAATTTGAGGAAATTGACACATTTTGTGATGACTTAAAGTATTAACTAGCCAGAAAATTAGGTAATCTTTGATAGATATGCAATTATCAAAAATTTAAACAATATTTAATGCATTTCAAAAGCCAGACAGTGTCAGATTTTCAGAATTATACTGGGCCAAAAAAAGGCCATAAGTGAACCTTGTTCTTTAAAAAGGAAATGGAAGTACGACAAAACAGAAAATTAAGTGTTGTTTGATAATTTTCTCTGTGATATATACCAATTTTATTCTTTGTTTTGGTATCTTATTCTCACTGATGAAGTCTTAATGTTGTAAATGTTCAAATAGTGTTCCATTTTAATATGAAAGCCTGTAACCCTGCATGGCAACATTTTCACTGTTATGTCTGACAAATATCATAAGTAATATATGTTGTCCTAGTCCATGCCCATTCAATAACTGCATCTTGTATAATCACTATATAGATATTTGAAGTAAGGTCTTTTGACACGCACATGTGAAGTTTTTATGACAGGTGGACCTGGATCGAGCTATACTAACATTTGTTTTTTTAATTTAAGGTACTCCAATCCTCAGATTCTGAAAATCAAGCAATTAGACTATATGAAAATGCTCACAAAAATGTCTCTGAATATTCAAAGTAACGTCGTTTATACCCATGATAATTTGTCATACTTCATCATTCAAATTTATCATATTATATGGAGAAAATTAGTAAATCTTTTATATATTTTCAGGTATTGCTAATAAAAACACATGGTATGCATTTTCAAATTCAAATTTGATCAATTAACACATTTCAAAAATAAAAACCATAGATATAATTCCTTTTATTTACTATGATCATTTTTACAATGCAAAGTGTAGAAAGATTCTCCTGTCATTGCAAAGCTCCATATATCATTTTTAATTCATTTTTAATTCATATCATGTTGATAAACATTGTTATCTATGGTTAAATACTTTTATCAGGCAAAAATTTCTACTTTTCATTAGACTTTTCTGAGAACTTCAAAGAACCTTGAAGCATATTGAGAGGTATATAAAGAAAATTGTTGCATGAAAAATTTAATTTTCAAGCTGCATTTTGAGATTTTTAAAATCAAATTATAAATTAAAGAGTTGTCCTTCCTAGCTGAGGATCAGAGTCCCTTAAATCTGAACTACTTATAAAACAACTATTAATAACTTAATGAAAATAATAATACTAATAATACAGCAATGAAAAACTTGATTAAAATACCAGCTTAAGTTGCACATTTTAATGAATATGCTATATTCATTAAGACACCCCTATAGTAAAGGTTTAAGCAATGAAATACCAAAATTAACTCTAAAATTTACTTCAAATTAGATTCCTTATTATTATTGAATAAGATATGTTTTAGCGTTAAAACTTTGCTGTGCCACACACGAATCTCATAAACAATTACAGAGAGGCCATTTTTTTTTTTTTATTTTGCAAATGATCGATAAATGAACATGATAAAATAAATACATTTCTCTCTTAATCTGTATAAATATTGAGTCACAGCTTAACGTCAAAATGGATTCCCTTATATCAGAATGATAATCAATAATAAATTTACATTGTGTACTAGCAATTAAAAATTCACAATTCCTTAATTACAGAAATATAATTATTATCATAACTATATTTTTGTCTCCCACATGTCAAAAAAATGACACCTTTCAGTAAATCTGGAAATATTTGCTGTAAATAATTTTTTAGCAAATTTGCGAGTTAATTGCATTCACCAAATTTTTTTTCAATTAAAAATAATTCAACAATTATTAGAAAGTGTGAACAAAGAAATGGTCATTCGCAAAATTTTGAAACGTAAAAATTAGCTTTCACAATATAAAATTTCCTCATTTACATTTTTTTGTACAATTAATTAAAACTAAATATAGTCAAACTAGTGCAGCTTCTCTACTTTTAACCAAACAATCTTGAGAGTGGTATTGGAAGTACATCATTCAAACTAGAATAGTTTTTTTTACTCTGAATACATTGTACATGGTAAAAAAATCATTGAACATGTCAGTCACTAAGATTTCTTAGTGAAAAATTAATTAGAAAGAAGCAAAGTAATAACTGATAATTTTAATTTAATAAATTCATTTTGCGTTTATTTTGATCAGGATCAGTTTAATTTTGATCAGGATTTGTCCCGATATTTGAAGAAATATTATCCCTATAATTTTAGGGATTTACTAAAAATCAAATTTTAGAATAAAAAATGATTTTTTGACATACCTTAAAAAATAAAGTAATTTGAGCTGATACACTGGTCTTTCCATGCTGAATCCTTAGTTAAAAAGGAATGTTTCTTATATAAAAAAAAATGATATGACCTTCCTCATCATGTTAAAAGTAATTATTCTATGAACAGTACAAAGTCTATTAACGGTTTCTGCAAGCTATTCCTTCTTTTTTGAAAATCAGGTAGATTAAAAAGTAAAATTTCATGTGGGAGTAGGTAGAATTATTGTGTAAACAAATAATTACATCATGTAGCTGAATACACATGCTATTAGGCCAAAAAAAAAATAATAGTTTTGTTTCCTGCTACCAGCCAGAAAAAAATAGGGTAGGTAGGTAGGAAACTTATTTTATTTTTTAATTTTATTTTATTTATTCAATGGTATTTCTTTGTTTATGAACTACTACAAACCCAAATTGAACATGTCATAGCTATGCACGACTCAATTAGAATTTTATGAAAGTCCATATTTTTAACATATAGGTCCCCTATTTCACGTAATACAACTTGAGTATATGTATTTTTTTTTCACTTTTGAAACATAAAATTCCTAAAATTTTGAATTTTCTCCCCAAAAGCTAAAAAAAAACTTTAGGGTCGGTGCAAAAAAATAGGGCAGGTTGGGTAGCAGGAAACAAGACTATTTTTTATTTTGGCCTTACAGTGAAAACAGTAATTATTAAACCACTGGGAGTAAAGGACAGGTAAATTTGCTTTTTACTTCTATTTTCGATAAGAAATTAGACTTTTTCAAATAAATATAGCAGATAAATTATTCATTTAGATTCATTAAAAAATCACATTGCAAAAGACCGATGTATGGTAAAACATTTCATAACATAGAGCAATTTAGATTTTCATGATAATTATACACATGCAAAAGTATATATTTCAGTGAATTTAAGTATATTTTAAATATTTTTTCGATAATTATATTTATTTTCTGTCTTAAAATGTACAAAATAATTGTAAAATACAGGTAAATCTAAGAAAGGATATAATTAGTCTAATTACTGTAAAAACCAATTAATTAATCAAAACACATATTGTTATTTGCAAATGGGAATAGGTGGGATTGAGATTTTTAAAAAGTGGGAATAGCTAGAAGACACCCTATTAACTTATGAGATCCTGATATAAGTAGTAATA